GTCGATATAAAAGTAAACTGCGCTTCATCTACTACAATATAAACTTTGTAAAAACAAAAATAGCTTTCAATCATCAAACTCATAAATCATTATTTGTATAAAATATCGTAAATCATAAACAATATAAAAGTAAATTCTATTTTATCAAAAATTTATCCTTTCATGTTAATTCAACTTAAATATTTATTAAAATAACTTAATTAGTATAGTTGTTTTCAACGAACAAGTAGTCAATTTGATAGAAACTTTCCTTAAAATTAACCATCTGGGTGTCAATTTAACAAAATAGTATAGTTGTTTTCAACGAACAAGTAGTCAATTTTATAGAAACTTTCCTTAAAATAAACTATCAAGGTGTCGATTCAACAGAATCGGGGTGTGTATTCAATAGAATAGGGGTGTCGATTCACAGAATCGGGGTGTCGATTCAACAGAACTTGTCAGTAAAATAAACTAACATCATCTTTGAATAAACCGTAGTATCGGTTAGCGCATTTCAATTGAAAAAATTCCGTTGAATCAATCGAAATCGGTTTTCAGTGTAGGCGTTCCGCCGTAGAACTAATTTCTATCGATATTTTTGTCAATAACTTTTGATGCACGTTCTGACCTATTCTTTTTAACGCGGTAGTCGCTTTAATATTTAATGAGCTTTATTTGTTCAAAAACTATTGAAATTATAATCATTGGTTCTATCTTATTTTTTAGTTAGAAAGTAAGAAAATACTAATTTCAACGTATTGTCTCATAAAATGCAACATTTTCAATTTATTTTTATTAAAATAATATAGAACCAACGATAAAAATTACATGAGCTTTTGACAAAATCAAGCTTAGTATATACTAATGTGACTGCTATGTTAAAAAGAATAAGTCAGTACCTGCATCAAAAGTTATTAAAAAAAATATTAATAAAAATCGTTGCCGCGGCGCAACGCCTACGTACTAAATTAACGTTCTATTTTTTTCTAATCAATATCAAGACTTGGCAATAGATAGATGCATTCTTTAAGTCGTAATAAATAATGTGTAATTGATAACATTTAAATATTTAAAATTTCATAACACACTTTCGTTAAATGAAGTTATAAATTTTTGCAAGTTTTGAAGTTATATATTTTTTCAGATAAACAAAAGTACATTTCGAATTCCGACAGAGGCTATTAGAAAGCTGGCCATCCAAGGTATAATTCAAAATTTTCTTGCTTCGAAATATCAATAATTCTCTTAATACGAGCGAGTAAATTACGAAAATCGCTTTTTCAATGCGCTGGAACTGCAGTTGAGGACCCTGACAATAGGGAATTTCCTTAAGACACGCCGACACGTGAGAGAAAGAGAGAGAGAGAGAGAGCAAGAGAGAGAGTAAGAGAGAGCGAGAGGGAGAGTAAGAGAGAGAGCAAGAGAGAGAGCGAGAGAAATGACGATCGCAACACCGCCAACACGCGATATGGCATAGTTCGAGAGTGCTCGATTTTCATTTCTTTTCAAACTCTGACAACAGACGCACGGACAGAAAAATAAAAATGAGCCAGAAGAATTCAAAAGTCGAGGTAATTATACGATTTCTTTATTTTAATAAATATTAAATAATAAAATTATATAATATGATAATTATATGTATTTGCAGGAAAACGAGCGCAAAAAGGACGATGGGCAAAAAAATCCACAGCAGCCTCCATCACACGGTGGACAACCGCCGCAGCAGCTCTTAGCGCAAGCTCAACAGCCGCCGCAGTATCCACCGATAATTTTTACACAGGAGAATGGGCAACTTTTTAGAGGAGCACGGTGGAATCCGAATAGAAAGTGAGTTGATTATTATTAAAGAGATACAGTGCGTGTAAAAATGAAATAAGTAAAAAAGAAAAAAAGTGAACGAAACGGAAACACATTATTTATTTTTTTATAATAAACTCACTGTTACTCGGTCAATTTTCATCCGATAATATCGATTTCTTGTTTTAAATACGTGTAATTATCTCGCGTATACGTTGATTCTATACAAAAATAACTGTGGAATACGGTCAACTATTTATTTCAATGTAAGTGAACAAATTCGGGTGTCATGGTTTTCGTGCATTCAACGACGAAATGTGTGCGGGAAAGTTTGAGACTTGAATAACGTTCAGCGAGACATTTGTTGGTTAACAGTCAAGAAAGATTTTTGGAAAGTTTCAGATCGATTCTAGTAATAATCAGTGAAATATAACGATTTTACCAAAAGGGCGCGTTCGCGACAATAGCCGCGCAGAGTTGCAGAAAACGAGTAGCGGCGCGGCGCCTTGCTGCGTTTACCAATCAGATAATAAATCATCGAAAACAGTAAATGCAATATGAAAATTATACTGACTGTTATAGAATTTGATATTTCAATATTACTGAAAGCATGAAATCGTGATAGAACATGTTTTTATTAATACATACTTGTAATTTGTTTTAAGCGTTTGTTTTAAATTGCAAGTAGGTATGAAAAAAAATGTTTTATCATTTGATAATAAACCATTGTTCAGCATTATATGTCTTGGTGGTTCGATGTTTCAACAAAAAAACGATTAAATTCTGTGTTTAGTGGTTGTTTGACGGGCTGTAGGGGTAGTTCGCGAGTGCGCCGACCGGAAATAATTTCTGAGCTCTTTCCTTAGAGCAATATTTATATAAAAAACCATTTCTCAACATTATATATCTTGGTGGTTCGATGTTTCAACAAAAAAACGATTAAATTCTACGTTTAGTGGTTGTTTGACGGGCTGTAGGGGTAGTTCGCGAGGGCGCCGACCGGAGATATTTTTCGAGCTCTTTCCTTAGAGCAATATTTATATAAAAAACCATTTCTCAACATTATATATCTTGGTGGTTCGATGTTTCAACAAAAAAACGATTAAATTCTGTGTTTAGTGGTTGTTTGACGAGCTGTAGGGGTAGTTCGCGAGGGCGCCGACCGGAGATAATTTCCGAGCCCTTTCCTAGGAGCAATACTTACGTAATAACCCATTGTTCAGCATTATCTGTCCTGGTCATTCGATGTTTCAACAAAAAAACGATTAAATTCTGTTTTTAGTGGTTGTTTGACGGGCTGTAGGGGTAGTTCGCGAGGGCGCCGATCGGAAAAATGTTTTCGCATTCTCCTTACAATTATACTTTGACGGAAAAGCATTATGCTGCCTCTCATTTATTGGTAATAACAAGTGTCAACGTTATTTAACATTCATTACGCCAGTTACTGTAAGGGTAGTTTATAGGGGTTGTAATTAAATTTTCATGTAAAATCATTGTTCATATCAATATAGTATTGCTGAGAATCAATATGTCGTATTGAAAATTGAAACTTGAAATTTTCGTTCACTGTGAACGATCCAAACTTCAGACTCATTTCTCAACCGGACAATCCGTCGCTGCTCATACCGCGATTCGCAAATGGGTATTCAGTTTACAGTGTGAAAATATTTCCATCTGTGAATAAAGTACCTAACTCTTTTCTAACCTAATTTCATCTCCAAATTTACACTATGCAATTATTCGCAAAGTCGTGCCTTAATCCTATCGAACGAATCCATTCCCATTGAAATCAGTCGAAGCTCTAGACAAATCAGCTTCAATGCATAACTTCCCCCTCTTGAAAGTCGGCACAAAGAAAGAATTAAACTGGCTGGGATGTCATTGAAAACCTCGCTTGATTTGCAATTTGATGAAGCGGTGCATTCTATCACGAGCATACAAACATCGAAAGCTCTTGGCACCAAATCAAGCGCGAACGCGTCGAAGACGGAACAAAGCTAATGAACGATGTTACAGATGCCTGCGCAAGGCGTCGCTGATAGCCGAGAACTAGGCGGCCCTGGTGGTGTAGCCGAGTGAATTGCTGACCAGGTGGCCGAACACATATCTGCTGTTGGTCCGCTGGCTTGGCTTAATGGAGCTCGAGAAGGACGCGCAGACGAGCAAGAGTAGGCGAGTAGCGAGGTCGACCAGCGCTACCTCCTCAAGCTTTTTTTCTTCAGCCTCATATACCCTACCATCTTCGTGGCTTTCTTTACGGCCTACACGTCTACCACCTTCCCCTGGCATCTACAAATCCTTTCAAAATCCACTGGAAGGTTTGTTCAAAAACAATCCTCATATTATTCGGAGAACTTGAGCTCGAGGATGTTTTCTTCGATGAAGATTCACCGATTCTATTCCTTAGCACCACGCACTTAATGTTGTTAGCTTTCGTTGTACTGGTAACGGTTATTCTCGCCAATCTGATGATAGGTTTGACCGTTTCGGACATTTAAGAACTTCGTCAATGTACCGATCTCGATAGACTGGTGAGGACAGTCGAACTAATTGCACACTAGAAAAGCTTTATATTTTCCAAACTACTCGATTATGCACTAAAAAAGATAGTTCAAGCTTGCAGAATCTTGGCTTTGCTTTTACGCTTGCCGCACCATTGTATTATTCACATTCGTCTTAACGATCCTAGGGAAAGTTGATTACCCAAGAAACTTATTAAATCTATTTATAGACTTGTCAGTGAAAGAGAAACTTCAAAAACTTTCTTTTGAAAGAAAAGTTAAGTCATATCAAAACACCTCAATATACAGCTTAACGATAATCGCTTTGGGTCCAATAGGTTGAGTAAACTATACAGTAATTCCTTAGCTAGCGACAATAATAAACAGCAATTCACTGATTTGGCAATAAAACAAATGAGAATTAAATAAATACTCTACAGCTGTAAGCTTAAGACTAGATGCTCTGACATTAAAAGTAGAAGTTATTGCTAACCAAATTAATCTATCTTCTCAGCTGCAAGATTCCATTAGTTAGCAATTCAGAAAATTCAAACAAATCCAAATACCACCTTTTGATTTTAATGTAATTTCAAAATAGTTAGTTTATGAAAAAGTAACTTTGTTTCTTTCAAATCTTATTAAATAAAATTTTGTTAATTTAGATTTGAAAAAAGAATGGAAAGTGATAAAATACACATTTCTTACAAATAATAAACTTACCAACAGCTTAGTTCTAAAAGTTTGTCCGCTTTGCAGGCGTACATTTGAATGAATGCCCAATCCATCTGGTAAACTGATATCTTCAACCTTTGCATTTGTAATTACTTTTACAAACTTTTTCTCTGACAGTACAGTTTCTACAGCATGTAATAGTAGATCATTTTCTACAATATATGCCAATTCTTCTGCTAAATGATCTTCATTGAAAGTTATCATAGCATCTGAGCAAGCATCCCATACCTAGGTAATAAATTTATCCATGAAAATAGATTTTAAATTAATAATTATTGTGACTAAAACTCTAAAGCTCTTATATACATATGAAGCTAAAACATAAGTCTCTTGATATATTTTTGTACAAATATCAAATAAAGAACATTTTAACTAATTTATATCTTATAATTCAATTTTTTATTAACATTATTAACAACACCTAAGTTATACTACTTGTGTCAGATATCAATTACTGATAGGACAAAAAAATTATTTCAATTATTCATAGCACTGATAACAGCATTGTAAAACTTGATTTTATGTAATTTATGACAAATTAGTTGCATTGTAAAATTATTCGCTATGCCAATAGTTATTTAAATATTACCTGCATTTTTCGCACAGGTGTAACTCTCACGGCCTCTATATGTTTCCATGCTTGAATACTAGATAATAATACGCGTGTATGTTTATTTAAAGCAACTACTCTATTAGAATACTGTTCCCTTGGCTCATATTTATGTTTGTTTCCTTCTTCGAGCAACAAAATTTTTCTAGATTCAAGTCGTCGGTTATTGGCTATTAAAATTCAATATCAATTATATTTCATCAAATTTCTGCATCCTTTTGTTCATTTCGCACTTACTACTTTTGGAAAACAATTTTTTAATTCTAGTACCCACATGAAAGAAATGAATAATTGACATATAAAAATAAGTAAAATGTCGTAATATTATAAATGTTTGAAAAAAATTGTTTTGTTAAACAACATATTAATGAATAAACATTGTATATTCCAAAAATAGTATGTAATTACAAAGATACTTTTTATAAACCCCAATACAAAAAGTAAGTCACTTTAACCTAAAGCACACGCCAGTGATGTGCCGACTATGCCACCTCCTGTGATGATCACATCGTAGGTATCATCACTCACACTTTCAGTATGATTATTTCTAGTTAATATCTCACAATTCGAAAATAAAATTCGTTTGCATTTTCTTGACAGGAGCGTTAAAGCACTGCGAGATACCGAACTTGCTTCAACAATCGCAGCCATGTTGTTATGCTAAAACTAGCATGTTGCTGACAACACAATAACAACACTTATGATCAATTACTTGATGTCTCAAACTCATGCAATAAAAATCTATTTTTATTTTTGGTATGCTACTAAGTTTTTAAAGTATCTAATTTAAATTTACTAATTTAATGTTTAAAAAGTTAAAAAAAATTGTTTTTCATTACTTTATTCAAACTAATAATGAATTCATTCTAGGCTTTAGAATGATTAATTTAATTTATGCCCATTGGTTTCCTTTGGCATCGCAAGGCAACATCTACTCTCTTACTACTCTTCAATGTCAAAAAGGATTTAACAAAGTTTTAGTATCGTCATTAAAAAGAAAAATTTATTCTTTTGAATATAATCAACATTCTAAGTGGCGATTAAAACCATTGGTTAAGGAACTTCTATTTACTTATATTCCAAGTAAGTATTTTCAATTTTACAGATTTAAATGTTGAATCGTAGGATTCTTGACAACATATTTTTTTTTATTTTGAGATGGTGCAGAAATCATTGCAATTGATGCTTTCAATAAATCAACTTCCGGAGATGAATTTGTAATAGGAATAACGATAACTAAACCTAGCGGAGAAACTTCTATTGAAAGATATCTAAACATTTATACAGAAGGAGTTGGTGAAGAAGAAAATAATTCTCTTGAAGCCATTGCACAAAATTGTTTGATGGTTGAATTGTCATATACTCCATATTTATTATACCATACTTTGATTCCACATTCAACTGGACACGAGGTAAGAAATTATGTTTTCAAATGATTTTTTGAATAAAGATAGAATTTGTTGCAGATTGTATGGCTTATATCAGGGAATGATAGTAAAATTCATATGATTCGAGAAGATAAACAAAATCACAGTTACAATGAATCACAAATAGAAAAATATTTTCCTGAATTAGATCAATTAAAAGTCATTGCACTCTGGATTGACATTTATTATTATGAAGACTTCCAGTGGTAAAAATTCTTTGCTCAAAATAATTTTATATAAAATGTAAATTGAAAAAAGAAATTCTAAAATCAATAACATTTCATTTAAATTTTTAGGAGGCTAACTGCAGTTTCTTGTGAATGTGGATTGTTTAAATTATCTAAAGTCAATGTGAAAGAGTTGGAAATTGCGCAAACTTGGATTCTGAGATATGATAATTCAGTTTGCAGTGTGAAAATTTTTCCATCTGTGAATAAAGTACCTAAACCTGATTTTCTTGACATTAAATATGGTACGTCAATATTTTTTTTTACAGTACCCTTGCAATTATTCTTAACTAATGATTATTTAAAAATATTTAGATAATAAACAGGATACCAAGTTGAACATTCTTTTAACTACAGGAAATCTAGCAGTCATATTTCAGTAAGTATGGAATAAAATTTTTGTGTTAAATACGATTAATCAATTTTTTTATCACAACAGAGATGTCCTGAAAGAAGAAATGAATTCAGACATAACTTTGAGTGGTAATGAATTAACATCAGATTGTATATTATGCTCATGTATAGCAGATATAAACATGGATGGCCAAAATGAAATTTTGTTAGGTACTTACAAGCAAGAAGTATTAATATTTGCTTTTAAAGATGGATTGTGGAAATTGATTGATAAAAAGCTTTTTGATGCTCCAATTTATTCTATGACTTACATAGATTTAGCTGGTGATGGAGTTAAAGTTTTAGTTGTTCTTACTCAACGAAGTGTTCATATTATGCAGGTAAAGATCCATTAATTCTTTTAAATAATGTTAAAATGTTTATTGAAATATATTTTTATTTTTAGCATGATACTAAAGAAGTTATGAAAAAATGGAAAGAAAGATTTGCTAAGTTAGGATTATTAATGGATAAGAATCTTATTGGCAAGAGATAACTTCACATGCAATTTCAATTAAAATATTTGTGACTTAAACAGAAATATTTATATTTATATACTTACAACAAAAATAAAAGTACATATAAATTTATATATATTTATAAATAATATTTTCTTTGTTTTCTATAGTCTGTATTTCTATTTTAACAGGACAATGTAAATAATAACTAAGAAGTTCTTCAGTATAACCAGTTAAAAAATAAATTTTTCTTGGGTCAAAGCCCTGTCTTATAACACCAGCTATTCTAACTAAATTATGATGTCGTTTAATTAATATTTCACTAAGAAAAAGTGAATGCCAAGTTCCAATCATGAATCTTCTTATGAACATGTCTTCTATGGCACTTTCCATAGGCCTATTTCCATTATCAATATTTGCTGCGAATTTTCATATAACTTATTGAATAATTGAGAGCTTATAATTTTATGTTTAAAATAATATACATTTAAAATTATAGTCTTACATGTATTCCAAGAGTTCCATGATTTTTTGCTTGCTATTTCATTTGGTTTGTATGCCATTTCATATGTTAATGGTCTGTTCTTTTTTAAAGTTACTCTGTATCGACCTGATTGAACTCTATTTATTGTTGAGCTAACATGAATACATCGTTGTATAATGAATGACTTTAAAATTTCTTGGAGTATCTTGACCTGAAAAAAAATCGTAAAATAATGCCAATTTATAAAAAAGTTAAACTGTTTTAAAATACAAAATTCATAGTATTTTCGAAAACTTATTCTAAATTTTAGATGAGGTTATGAAAAATATATAAAAGCACTTATTTGCGACATATACTTACATTATTTAAATTAGTGAATAAAGTCATTTTCGTACACTGTTTATTGTAACAATTTTATTCGCAAATCATTTAATTTTCAGTGTTTAAAAATACAAGTATATAAATTATAAACACTCAGATTGTAATCGGGCGGAATTGAAGAGCTTGCTTCAAGTCCTTCAAGATCGTTTTTTAACTATCTTCAGATCATCTACCCTGGCTCCGGCGCATGGAAACTATATACATTTGACTACATGCGCGTCGTTCGCGCATGCTTGGATGCGTTCGAGGAGTCTCGAAAAAAGGTTGGTCGCAGTGTGGGCTTGCCAGGCTCACACTCAGGCGGTCGGTAAGGAAGTAAGCGTTTCGCGTCCCGATGTTACCGGCTGGACTCGTCAGTGAGGCTCGACGGCCGGTAACATCTGCCTCATACGCTCGAAGTGCGCGAGTCGCTATGCGGACTTATATGTTCAACGAGCGTACTTCTTGCCGCTCGTGGCTAGCCGATGCCATCTAGATGTGGATGGCCGAATCGTGGAACCGCCACATACAGTCTCCATGCTCCGGCGACTTAAAATTCTTTGATTCAAAAGGGATCGATGCGAAAACAGCCCGATACAAATATCATTTTATAAAAAAAAATGTTCACATCTCACGTATGTCTAATTGTACTTCTCGAAAAAATAATTATTTGTTATTGTACCATTATATTTCTCATAAAAAATAAAAAATATCGTTATCGATCATTCACCTCCTATTTATTCACATACAAGACATAATTAAGCAAAAATAAATTCACAGAAAAATTGTACCTTCTGTAGTTTAAATTGTACCATCAGTACAATTCTATAAATTTGTTTCTAAAAGAAATAATAGGACAATTAGAAAGCTCTACGCCTGCGCAAAGTGCATTTTCGGATGACATCCTTGCAAGTTGTAACAATTAATGGTAATTTGTAATTGTCCTATTATTTCTTTTAGAAACAAATTTATAGAATTGTACTGATGGTACAATTTAGACTACAGAAGGTACAATTTTTCTGTGAATTTATTTTTGCTTAATTATGTCTTTATGTGAGTAAATAGGAGGTGAATTATCGATAACGATATTTTTTATTTTTTATGAGAAATATAATGGTACAATAACAAATAATTATTTTTTCGAGAAGTATAATTAGACGTACATGAGATGTGATCATTTTTTTTTATAAAATGTTATTTATGTCGGGCTGTTTTCGCATCGGTATTCAAAGGTCACATTCACTAAACTTTCTCTACGTTCTACCTTTAAATATATAGCATATAATACATAAAGTTTCCGACATAAACATAAATGACGGTCATGGAACCTTTTTTTAATTTTTCTCCTCTAAATGAATTTCAGTATGAATCTTAAATTTGAAAAATCATTAATTTTGAAGTTATAACTACAAAGATGTTTTTTTATTCAAGGAGCACTTCATGAGAAAAATAAAAAGGGGTTATATGATTGTCACCTAGGAATACACGTACATACGTATATGTTTTACCTGCTATTGTAGACGCAGCATTACTAATACGTTTACGTGGCCTCAAACCATAACCTTTTGACAATTCAACAGCTGATATAATTAATTTTAGTGGATTAGTAACAAATATTTGTTTATTCATATTTACAAAGAATATTCAATTTCATCGTGGATACTAAATCTTCAAAAATGAGAAGAGCTCACTCTGGTAATTGTGCTTCATAAAAATATCGACGTCTTAAGTTATTAATTAATTTTATTTTATAATGATTTATTTCGACTAGGTTACGGGTATGAACCATTACCAAGTACTTCTCATGTAGAAGAAGAAAATGATCAAATGGCTAATGAATTGAAAGATAAAATCCATGCATTGAAATCATTATCCATCGACATTAGTACTGAAGTAAAATATCAAGATAAAATGCTTCGAGACATGGTTAACAATGATTATTGATTATTTATTTTTTGTTTTATCAATAAGTATGTACCTGATTATCACTTAATTGGTTTGTTCCTTGTAGGATGATGATTTTGAAAGAACAAGTGGATCACTTTCAAATTCAGTTGCTCGTGTTTTAAGGATGGCTAAAGGAAGTCACAATTATTACATATTATATTTATTCTTATTCTCAATAGCAGTGTTCTTCTTTTTATGGATTTTTTTGAAATTGAAATGACATATATGATGATTATTAAATTGGAATTTTTCATTCCCATTTTCACGAAATTGTCATTTGTTTAATTCAAAAAAACTTGTTGGGTTATTGGAATGCCTTGAGCAATGTATATAGAGTAGTCTTATAATTATTATTTATTTATACAATTTTAGTATTGTAGATATTTTGATTTACATAAAATTGTATTACGTAAGTTGAAATTGGACAGTTTTTTGAGTAAAATTAGAATTGATTTAGAGCATTTTTTTGTAAAATTCATTTAGCAGAGCCTGTAATGCAACTCTCTGTATATATTAAGTAATAAAAATTTATACCTGTAATCTCTTTTTTCCTTTATAAATAATTTCTTTCTTATTGTAACTTTGATCAAATAGTATTATTATTTATTCTTTTGGTGACAATATGTTTGTCAATGTTTAATTTCATTACTTGTGTGTTATAAAATAATTACTAGAGATAAATTTATTAATTAAGATACTGTCAATTATGAATTATTATTCTGAAGTACAATTTGAAATTTTAACGATAAAATAATGTGATCGTATATATAGATACATGTATCTCTGGTGTCAGTTAACTGTCAATAAGTCAGGTATATGACGTGTACCATTTTCTATTTTTGTTATCGTCAGCTTTTAAATCAGCTGTTTAATTGTGCTTAATCAAATAATGTGAATTTTTAACATAGATATTGTACAAACTGCAGTAAAGGTTACATTGTGTACACTTAAATAATCGAAGAAATGTCTAAATATTCGCAACAAGATAAATATTGGACGTTACCAGCTCAGAATCAGTACAACTTTGATAACAGTGGTTTTGGTCAACCTAACCAACAATTTGAATTCACAAGTTATAACGACCAACAATCTGGAGATTATAGTTACAATACACAACAAGAATATTTAAATCCAAGTCAGAGTTCATATGCTGGTGATTTGTATACACCAGAAAATTACAATCAAGGTATGTTAATAAGTTTTAATTGCTCTTTAATGTGGTATAAATTAAGCTAATTGACTGTCCTGCATGTAATTTTATTTTTTAACTGTAACTTCATTGTTTTAGGAAGTTCTAACTTTAATGATGAAGAAGATGAACCACCGTTGTTAGAAGAATTAGGAATAGACCCAGATAGAATTTTACAAAAAACATTGGCTGTTCTTAATCCATTTCACAGACGGGGTCAAACAGATGATGCTAATTATCTCTTACAAGATTCAGATCTAGCGGGACCTTTAGCATTTTGCCTTATGCTTGCAGCAGCATTGCTCTTAGCTGGATCTAAAGCACACTTTGGCTATGTATATGGATTAGCAACAACATCTTGTCTTTTGATGTATTTACTATTAACTTTGATGAGCACTACTGGAAATATAACTTTAGCATCAGTCGCATCAGTATTGGGCTACTGTATACTTCCTGTTGTTGGACTTGCTGGATTAGGCATTTTTACTAGTCTTCGTGGAACTGGTGGATTGATTCTTGCTGTACTTGCAGTTACATGGGCTACTTTGTCATCTTCACGACTTTTTGTAGCAATGTCAGGTGACGAAAAGCAACGGCTTTTAATAGCATACCCGTGTCTTTTATTATATGGTGTTTTTACATTGATTGTGATTTTTTGAAGATAATAATTTTGTATCTTTTTTACAACCGAATGCTAAAATGAATAATAACTTAATAATGTTAGCTTAAATATTTTTCAATAAAACTGAGAGTAGTCCAATAAAATTTATTGTAACTCTTTTAAACTAATTGTTTACTGATTTTGAATTAAAAATGAGGCTTATTTCATTAATCTCATTCTTAGCTATTAAAAAAATATCTTATTTCTGTTAACTTCTATATGTGTTCTGTGAGCATCTTAATCAATTTTTTTGTTTTACGAGGAACACGTTGAACTTTGAAAATTGCAAAAATTGGAATTAGAAACAAAAATATTATGATTTAAGTAACAACAAATATTGAAATTTCTAAAAATTTAATTTATTAAATCATTTTACTTTTTTTACTTGGGAAAATGACAAGAGTTATGCATATTTCAAATGGTAGTATACTTTATTAGGAACATTCCTATATTTCTAAAATATAAAAGTATTGATTACAACGAAAAATACAGAAATAAAAAAAAAAAGAGTCTGCTGCCGTATGCAATATCCCTTCCAACTACCTATTAATTGCATTTTTTTAATAGAAAATTGTCAGCATTAAATATAGACATAAATATTTACAAAGAAATGATTATCAATAATAATAAATATAATATTGAATAACACTATAACATCATTGAATTAAAATTTAAAAAAATACATAAACATATTGTACATTGTGAGAATTTTGTCACACTTTTTCTAGCATTCATAAAATTAACGAGTTTAATACCTCATTATATCTTCAGCTATAACCAATAATTTTACATTTTACAGGCATGTTTCTAAGCAAAGATTATCATTTCAGATTGTTAAAAATGTACAGCTCCTCTCATTTTTCTAAGTAAGAAAATAGAACAATTTAATAAAATAAATTTTTTGAAATTTTGATATTTGTTCTTACTTTAATTGCAATATTGTAATTTTTAATTCGAATTTCTGCAATATTCAAAGTGCTCCTGATAAAACAAAAAATCGATTAAGATGCTCCCAGAACCTACAATTTTGTAAACAAAAAAGATATAGCTGATCAAACTAATACATTTCTCGCTATTAGGTTTTTTTTGTAATCTGCAATTTTTTAGGAATTAATGAATATATTTTCAATTTTTAAAATCGAGTTTATTTATTACAAATTAAGGAATCGTTTGACATGCTAATAGGAGCTGTATCTTTGTTAAACAAAGAGTTATGATTGTTTGAACAATTAAATTGTTAATAAATAATTAATGACCAGGTTTTAAGTTTTCCACCTTGGTAATTTGGAATCAGAAAATCAGAATACAATTTCCGATCAGCAAGTGAGATCGATTTTGCGCGATGGATGCAAATGGTTTAAAATAGTCGATAAAGAAACCTCTTTCTCTTTTGCAAACATTTTTATACCGGTATCTTATTTAAGTATCAATCTTTATTAAAAGATAACGATCAAAATGATTTTTATTGAAAGAATTATATTATATATTATTTTTAACAATTAGAAAATGAAAACAAACCTATAATGCTATTTATTCATATTTCATTTGTACGCATGGTATAGCGGTACGGCGTGGTGATATTCTGTTTATACTATTACGTAATGAAAATTCTAATGATTTCAATCAACTATTCTAATAAATTTAAACATAAAAGTACGTCGTATCACTCGATCCCTAATGCTTAATTACACTTTCAAAAGCACTGGTCAGAAATTTCTTGAGCTTAAGTAAGCCAAATACAGTCCTGATTCATATTTTCATTAAATCTTATAACTTCACTTCTGAAAATGCCAAATAAACGATGGATATAAATTTAATGGAAAAATATGATTAACATATTTTTCTTTACCAAATAACGAAAAACGAATGTGCAGAAAGGAAAAATTCAGTTTAACTAGTTATTAATAGATAATTAATAAGTTTTAGATAATTTTCTACATTAAGTTTTATTAAAAATAAATAAGACATTATGATATATCTTATCATAAAAAATAATATATTTCATAATAAATTTTGATGTATAAGCTTCAGTATTCAACATTATTTTTATCTGTAAAATATTTGATCTATAAAGTGAAATTATAAGGTATATTTATTTTTGTATAATGAAAAAAGTAGTTTGCTTTAAAGTGTGATAATTTTAGTCAATATCTATCAAACTGATAGATATTGTGCAGAACCTCATTGAAAGAATATGCGCAGCTTCAAAATGAAACCGAATGTATCTACGTTGAAATTCGTTATGATGAAATTCGTTAGTAGTGTAAAAAATATGTAGACTTGCCTTACATATATACACATGTAACATGCTTAGGAAACATGATAACTGACTTCATTTCTAAAATACATTAAATGTGTGTGTGTGTGTGTGTGTGTGTGCGCGCGTGTGTGTGTGTGTGTGCGCGCGCGCGCGCGTGTGTGTAAAGTGATAAATCGTTATTTGAGAATTAAATTCTTTATTATCCTAAAAAGCTTATGTAAATGAGGATTTACCACTGTCATTGACCTCTTCAAGTTAATGGAGTTTCCGTGATGATGCCTTTGTTACTGACTCAAAAAAATGACAAAGTATACTAGAGTAAATCCGCTTAAAGAAGATAAATTTATGATTTGTTTGAAAGTACAGCAATAAAATCGATATTATTGCATAATTAAAATATAAAAAAATCTGATATGTTTGAATAACAAAATCTAATCCAAAAATTTTTAATTTTATTTAAATATTTATAGTAGAGCTATTAGATATTGTATACAATATATTATAACTTAACCGGATGAAAGAATCCAGCGGGAAATCAACGAAAATTAATCTGGGAAACTGCACTAGTGATTGGCAAAGGTAGAAAAACTCAATAATTTTATACAATTATGATTTCGTTAATAAAAAAATTACAAAAGTTGATTAGTCACCAGATTAGTAAAAATTAAGTCTACGTAGCGTTTCTATTCTGTTTTTATAGAAATGAATGTGTTGAATCGTTAGCAATAAACACGCGCAATTTTTCTATCCAATCAAAATATCATTATAACCATCCGTTATAAAAAAATAAACATTATTTCTCATTATAGAGATACCTGCACCTGAAAGATCAGTAGATAATGTAGTAGATTTAACAAGTAACGCGCTTTGAAAAAGGTTGTATCCATATAAGCATGTTATTTTTAAAATGCCAGCAATGTCAACTTCTTTAACATAGAAAATACTTTTTCAAGAATTCCAGTATAACAGCTGTGCTAATAGGGATGGTTCATTTTTTAACCAATCCAAAACTTATCTAGGTTAAAAAATCCACTTCTAAAAATTAGCTAACATTTACTGTTATTCTAAAAAATAATTTATTGCTATTAATAGAACTTTTATTTTAAGGGCGTAATTTCTTTTATTATTATTTTTTTCTTGAGAGGGAATCTTGCCACAAAAGTGAAGATATTTTACCGCCTATTATTTTTCAGATGTACATATCGCTGTAATAATGAGGAATAATATTTATTCTTAATAATATTTTGATTGTATAGAAAAAGTGCGCGTGATTTTTGTTAAAGAATCAACATATTCATTTCCGTAAGAACCTTATCACAACGCTACACAGATTCAATTTCTGTTGGTGTAGCGAGTGTTTAACTTTTGGAACTTTTTTGTTAATGAATCTTAATTGCACAAAATTATTATTATTAATTAATTAATAAATAATTAATTTTTATTAATAAGTTTTGCTATTTTTGCCAATCACGTGCATTTTTTTCTATAATTTTCCAGGTAGATTTTCGTCGATTTCGTGCCGAGATCCTTCATCCCGTAAGAATCATTTAGTTTCATTTATATTCATTTCTCGTGTCAGATCTTCCGTGAGAATAAATTACGAGTCATTTTTATATATTTCTTACATTTGATCTGCATAAGAACAGGTTTCGACGTAAGAAAGAGGACAAAAACATCCTTCAGGATCCAGCTGTGTTTCTTATATCAGAAATCACGTAAGAATTTTTAATAGGGAAAAGCCATTACTATCTCAACAACAATTCTCAATTTTCTATGTATCATCCGGATCGCAAGTAAGTAAATCAACCCAATATACGAGACATTTCAATTGAAAATAAAACGTTATTCAAAACCGGTATGACTTTAAATATGAAAATTAAATAATTAGTTATCCAAAATAAAAACATCACGAGGTACGATTTTACGGTACTCAAGGATAGGATGATCTCACCTTTTTGTATTTTTTCATGTGGCGGAATGTGGCAGAGCTGCTTGACGACTGTGTAGGTATAAAAGATTCGAAAACTAAAGAACAGGATCCAACTCGATCTTTCAGTTCTACGAGGCACTTTCATCAAATATAGTCAAAAATATATTCGAAGTAAACTTTTTGTATACAGATCAATAGAAGTAGTCAACACGTACTTAAATAAACCTTGTTTATAAAAGAAATGGCCCAATTAATATTTAATTTGTTGTTTTTAATTACCTTCGCAGCATTTATAGAAGGTAATTTTTACTTTTTAGACATAACCAAACATTCAATAGATTCAACTTTATTTATTTTCGAATGTGCTCAAACAATCTGTATATTTTTTAATTCTTTACAGTTACAAATCACTATAGATTTGCATAACGGCTCTCGAATAATTCCCTTTTTTTTTATGATTTTGTTAAGTCACATAGCTTGTCAAATGATACTAACAATCTTAACAAGAAAAGTATAAAAATATATTTTAAAATTTATTTTAACACTGATACAACTCACATAAATTTAAATAGGTAGTTCGCGAGTACGGAGATTAGCCGGTGGAGCTGATGCGCAAAACGGACAATTTCCCTACATGGCCGCTTTAAAATATAATGACCATTTTGCTTGTGCTGGTACTATTATCAGCTCGAATAAAATTTTAACAGCTGCCAACTGTTTCTGGTGTAGAAATCAACCACTTGAAGAATGCGTTAAGAATTTTACTGTACAAACAGGTTCTGCGGATTTATCCATAGATGGAAATTTGCATCGTGTAAAAGAAATTAAAATTTTTGATGGCTATACTGGAAAATTTGCTAATGATATTGCAGTTGTTACCGTAAGTAGAATAATATTTTTTCACTTGTATTTAACGAATAATGAATCAACAATATTAAATGATATATATCGTAAGATTTTCATATTTAAATGTATATTATGAGTTTGATTCGATTCTTCCGCTGGTAATATTTAACATTTCTTTCGATATTTCTCTCAATACGTAGCTTCAATCAGAAATAATGTTTTCTGCAAACGAAAAAGCTGCCAGCTTGCCGGATACAGATATCACTGAAAATACAGTTGCCATAAGTAGTGGATGGGGAATTAAAACAGAAGATAGTAAAATAGACAATAAACTTGCTAGTATTGAAGAAAAAATCCTCTCAGCAAGTAAATGCAACGAATTTTTTCTTAAAAATGGCCCCAACATAGATGTAGATGATAACGATTTTTGCGCAATTGCTGCCAGTGGCAACAACAATACTGGACTTTGTGTTGTAAGTTAATCTTATATATATACTGAAAATTTAATGTAGTTAATTAATAAGTTGACAGCAATATTTTTTTAATTATATTTGTTAGACATAATGTAAATTGAAATTAACAGGGAGACACCGGCAACCCTTCGGTAGTAGGTGGAACAGTAATAGGCGTTGCAACATATGGTGTTGGTTGCGGCAAAGGATTCCCTGATGTTTTTACAAATGTTTATAGATTCCTCAAATTCATAAAAAGTCAATTGTAAAATGAATCTTCTTGCAATAAATTCAACTGGAAAGGGTTTCTAAAATGAGTACACTGTTTATTATACATTAAATTCAACTATACTAAAAAAAAAAAAAAAAGATTAACCCATTAAAGCCCACGCTAAGACTGGTTGAGATAGCGACAAACAAACTGTGCTATCTTTTGCATAAGTGAAAAATAAAATATACGTATTTTTTTTATGTTATTTTCAATTGTTTATAACAAATTATTTAAACAAATTACAAAAAAATTCATAATTATCAAAATCTAAATGCGGGAATCGATTCTGGAGGTGAAATCAAGACGAAAACCTATATAACACTTTTTTGTCAGAATTCAATTTGTTAGTGTAACGTAGGAATAAACAATTGCATGTTGGGGAGAAAAAGTGACCATGTCAAGTCCCAAGCAAAATCTATCTGGAATAGCAAAAAATAAACTGTGCTATCCTTTGCATAAGTGAAAAATAAAATATATATATTTTTTCTTATGTCATTTGCAATTGTTTATAACAAACTATTTAAATAAATTATAAAAAAATTTATAATTTTCAAAATCTGAATGCGGAAATCGATTCTGGGGGTAAAGTTTAGACGAAAACCTATATAACACTTTTCTGTCAGAGGCCAATTAGTTATTGTAATGAAGGAAGAAACATTCGGCCTCCTGAGAGTGTTTCAAAAAATCGTATAAAATGAAGCTAATTATTGTATTTATCCATCAATATTGGCATGAATTATTGTAAATATAATCGGTGGGATTGAATTATTGTTCATTGCCATGTCCTTCTTTATGACTTTTGCAAACAGGCATAGAACATTTCTCACAATACCATTCCGTTCTTGTCCGACATGTTGAAATTCCACATTTCCTAAGACTCCCATGTTTCATCACGTGTTCTTGGGATGAAGTTTCACTCTGTTTCTGTCGTTTGGGGGGACGTTTGGAAGATAACTTGTCAATATAATATTCACAAACTTCTTGAACAATATCTTTGGAACCTTTTCTTTCGTCTGGATGTAACTTATTGTAAATCACTGTAGCGTTTGCTAAGGATGCTTGGATGAGCCGTAATACAAGGCACCATGTCCATTTCTTACTTCGAATTGTAGGCATCAAAGCATTACAGTGTTGATCATGTAGATCGACGCCACCCATGTGTTCATTATACATAGAGAAACAATGAGGAAAAAGAATAGATTTTTTCGATGATTCCTGCCATCTCTGCATTTCAACTTTTGGTTCATTTCCATATTTCGAAGAGAGAATCGATACTGGCTTTGAGTCCATAACTGTAATATAATTCAATTTTGAATTCACTTCATGCATTGAAATAGTGTATCCTCTTTTAGCTTTTTTTGGCATTTCGACTTTCACTTTCACACGATTATGCCGAACAGTTCCTGTCGCCGATAAACCATTTTTTTTCAAATGAATCATAAGATCTGGGTTTGTGAAAAAGTTGTCAAAATAAATATGATACTTTTTCAGTTCTTCTCTCTGTGTTTTTTCTAATAAATTCGAAAGTAACTTTATCACCACTCTAGACCCTAAACCAACGGCAACTAAAGGATTTCGTTCATCGATTCCTGATTTACCAGTGTAAATATCAAGATCATATATATACCCATCAGAAGAACAGACTGCCCATTCTTTTATTCCAAATCTAATGGGTTTATTCCTTATACATTGCTTGATACCAAACCTACCAAAGTATTTTACCATTATCTCATCTATTGATAAATTATAGTCAAAGAAACCAAATTGCATACAATTCTCACGAAACATATCATACAGAGTTCTAACCTTCCAGACTTTATCATTTTGATCAGTTTCTTGAAGTTTATAGAATCGTATGTTCTTTTTTATGGCAACGAAATTATTTCTAGACATAAGTTCCGCAATTACTGGACACTGAAGTATTCGCTTTTTTGATCAGTAATCACGAATACTTTTTCTAGAATTGAAGATAGTAATCATTATGATTGTAATAAATTTTTCTAGATCATCCATACATAAATCAAAATGATTTTCAGAAGTGGCTTCAATGATATGGTTTTTCATTGATTTCGAAAAGAAAACCTCAAACAACTCAAAAGCATTTTTGGATTGCAATGATGAAATAGGTGAAATATTGAAGTTGCTCTCGACATGCGGAGAAATATCATTCAAAGCATCATTTTTCCAACTGTACTTATGATTCGGTTCCAACAATTTCTGAGTACTTGTGTATGTACTTTTAACATGTTCGTAAGAACCTGATGGTAATTCATTTGATAATGTATCTTCATTTGGATCACCGTCCGAATCTCCATCTGAACTTTCATATTCATTAGGAATGAATGCTATATCAATATGTTGACCTTCATCACTATCAGAATCTTCAACTAAATTTGGTAGATCGCTAATTCTCCGTCTCGGCATTATCAGTAACGTTACCAATTTAGAACAAAATAAAAACTAAAAGTTTTCCGAAATTATTATTTCAAAGAATAGATCCAATGTATAAATGTTTTCAACCGTTAGCCCGCCACTCAAACGTGATCTCTAACACGGAAGGATTTACGAAATGAAATAAACTTATCCAATTACAGTATAAGATCTCAAAATTTATCAGTAAAAAATACTGATATGATTCCAGATACCATGTGTGAGAATGAAAACACTTATTTGTCAATAGTTTATTTCTACATAAAGATATCAAATTGAACTCTGACAAAAAAGTGTTATATAGGTTTTCATCTCAATTTTATCCCCCGAATCGATTTCCGCATTCAGATTTTGAAAATTATGAATTTTTTTGTAATTTGTTTAAATAATTTGTTATAAACAATTGCAAATGACATAAGAAAAAATATATATATTTTATTTTTCACTTATGCAAAGGATAGCACAGTTTATTTTTTGCTATTCCAGATAGATTTTGCTTGGGACTTGACATGGTCACTTTTTCTCCCCAACATGCAATTGTTTATTCCTACGTTACACTAACAAATTGAATTCTGACAAAAAAGTGTTATATAGGTTTTCGTCTTGATTTCACCTCCAGAATCGATTCCCGCATTTAGATTTTGATAATTATGAATTTTTTTGTAATTTGTTTAAATAATTTGTTATAAACAATTGAAAATAACATAAAAAAAAATACGTATATTTTATTTTTCACTTATGCAAAAGATAGCACAGTTTGTGTGTCGCTATCTCAACCAGTCTTAGCGTGGGCTTTAATGGGTTAAACTCTTTTAAATCAAACCATGATTTAGAAATGTCGTCAATTTTATCAGCATGTTTTTCAATGTGGTCATTTTTTTCGTATAAATTAAAAAGAATGTCCAAAGATATTTATTGACGAATGAATAAAAATAAATTCTAAAGTTATATATTTTGGCAAAATGTGGTACAGGCAAATAATAATTAATGGTTGGAAACAACACTTCAAATGTAATAGTGAGCATAATTTATTACATTTTATCAGAAAATATTTATAATTTGTTGCGTTCTTGTGCCTCATTTTGTGATCAATATCACAAATTAAACATACTCTGCAAAATGCTTACTTCGTATTCGTTATAATTCTCAAAACGTGCTCTATTGTATCTTTCATTTTTAATCTCTTTCACTCTCTTCTTTTACGTAAGATTTCTGGCAATCAAAACCTTTACCTTGCCATCTATACATTAAATCGATATATGTATGCAATGAATACTTATAATCAAATTCATTTCTAAATTACATCATAACTTTAAGCACTGCGCAATGAAAGTGATCAATATATTTTTATGATATTCTATAAACATATTAGTACATTTACAGATTTCAATATTTTGTTATATACATTCACCTGCCGTGAAAACCGCCTGTTATATATTCTTTCTATCATATTTTGTACAATATCCTCTCTCTATCTTATTACTGCAACGGTTTCTCCTTACCTAGTATGTTTCTATTATTTCACTGTTATTCAGATAACATTGCCTATATATATCCATATAACGTACAGCACATAGGAAAAATAACACAAAAACAAACGAATCTTCCATTCAATATTTTACACAAGGTTGACAAACGGATTTAAGTATCTACAATATTATATATTACTTATAATTTCCAGCTTCAATTACACTTCAACTATACGTGTAATTTGTAATATTTACAATTACAAATGACGCGTTAACTAAAATAATATGTGCGCAGCAGTAATTTATAGAATGCACTCCACATTAGACAGATCCAATTGAGTGGATTTTACTTCAAGATTTAGACTCTTATTGAAATGAGTGCTTTCGCGTAATTTAATATCTCTTGTTAAATTATAGTTCGGTGTACAGATTTTGTGCATTGATTACAGCTATGTATAAAAAATATAGTTTAAGAAAGAAATCGAGTTACCAAGTATTAAATAAATGACTTAATTTTTGATTTTAAACTAAAAATGTTTTTTTTTTTAATTTGATTGCGAAATTCTTTATATAAATGACATATGCCTATGTATGTTGAAACGCCATCTCAAACATTTGTTGTTTGTTGTTACTTGAGAAGTACACTGTTGTTATTTGGCAACTCGGATTCTTTCATTCTTTTGCATAAACTCTATAAATATATTCTTAAACTCTAGAAGTATGTACATTTACACTTGAATAAATATTTTTCCAGTATTGCCAAATTTATTTTCTTGACTTGTGAAATTATACAACAAAATATGTAATAAACAGTTTCCCATACAAGATTAATTAAATTTTCTTAAACATTTAATCTCAATCATTCTTTTATTTCTTTTATTAACGGGTTCGCTATTTTTATTGGGGCGTCTAAACGAAAGGTTTTTATTCTTAATTGAATTCAATTACAATTGAATTCCAACAGATAAACGTCGAGGACATTGTTTTTGTAGTATTTAAAGATTGTTGTTTCTTGAAGTGGTTCATAAATAACGTGAAAATTGTAAGCAAATTAGGTTAAAAATAATATTTTAATCTGTTTGAAGATCAAAAACCGAAACAATAATCTTATTTTATTAAAATCTATTATAATTTGCATGCTTATAATCACATTTATAGAAGTTTAAACCACATAAATAGGTTTACGCGATAATATAACGTTACTTTAGTCGCATTATTATACTTATTTGTTCAATTTGTACGTTGCTCGTTTCAAACACTACCGCGATACGTATACTGAAGTGCATTATAAATTATACTGAATGTATAACATGTGGATGAAAATTGGAAGTTGTATACAATGAAGGAAACAATGATGCTTGATTGTTAAAGGAAACGAAATATACTTTGTCTTATATAAATAATTTTTAGGACGTAGAAATATTTTCTAGAAAATAGATTAGAAATAGTACATAGTAAAGCTTATACGATTCAATTGTACGATCCCAAATTTCATTACGCTGTATATACATTTAGACAATGTGGATATGACTGGAATGTACATAAGCTGCATAAATACTTTATTATAAATTTACTTTTCTCATTTAAGTTAAAAAATTCGTTACAAGCTTATATAATCTCATTAGATATTTCAACCTTCCTATTCTGTACAAAATTCTTACGAAAATAATATCTACTCCATACAACTTTGTCTGTACGTGTTTTTCTATTACCGTCGTCTTCGTCGTATCAAATATAGTAATAAATATATCTCTTATATGTCTGTACTGTTGAAATTGCAATCTTTGACGCACATGCAGAATGCTCTTTCTCTTTCTATATATCGTTTCCGATCGACGATTGCTGAAATAGAAACGTCTTATTTAAAATAATCCACGGAAGCAAATTTTGTATTACATGTGGTTTTTAAAAAATTTTTGTCGTTAATGATTGTCGACATGAGTAATATGTAACATGATTTTCTTTCCAAATAGTAGAAATAGAATGTCTTGCATTTTGACAACGTTATTTCCGTAATATACTGACATATTCGAATTATTTTTTAATAGAATGTTTCATATCACGAGATGGAAATAAGACTGGCACATAAATAAAATAGGCTTACTTGCAGACCGCACGCAGTTATCTGCATCAATTCTTGTGTACTGAATCTGAATTCAGATACAGAATTGTCAATTGTCTTATCGCACTTCACGTGGTTTGAATCGCAAAATACACTCGAAGATCAATTAACCAGTTGGAGTATTTCTGCGATAGAAAATAGGGTTATTCGATGGCTTTGGATTCAAATTCAACGATTTACTTTTATAAATTTGACAAGCAATGTCCTTATTTGCCTATTTTTTTATGTGCATGTATATAATATAATTAATATAACGAGAACACTATTGTAAATGCATTAATAGTGAAATAAGCTACTCACGCATCAACAGTTAATTTACCTCGTAATTCACTGAAAAGCAATCAATGATTTTTTCAAGAGCATTGCAATTTGTCGTGCGTTTATTACTAAATGAAATAATTTGCAAAGTAACTATCATAATTTCCATATCATATCATTTGAATTAATGTTTGTTTGCATTCATCAACTATTATTAAACTTGGCAAACGCAATTGATAGACATTTCTCCATAACTGGCTATTTATACGATTATATCCTCTGTCCCATTTATAAATTATTGTTCGACATCAAACGAAAGAACCATTGTTATTTTACTTTTGCCTTTGAAGTTATCTGAAGCAAATAAATTACTTTCCTGAACTTGAAGGACGGAACACAATATTGATGTACTCAATTATTTATAACACCACATTAGATTCATAGAAAAAGCTGCTTCAGAAACTAATGCTGGATGTTTCTCTTGGAATTCGGTTACTTGCCTTACAACCTAGACAGACACAGATCAAGATTAGTCAAAAACTTGTACGAATTCCCAAGAAAATGCGGATATATTTTTAAAAACTTCAAAGGAAAAAGATTATATTACTGACGTAGTTTAGCTTTCACTTAATAATTTATCGGTATTACGCCTATCTTTTCCTGTCTTCTTTACAATACGTTAATTTTTTTGTGTAAACATTCGTGAATACAATGCTCTGAAAGGCCTAATAATTAAATACATTTTATATTCAATACCAACGTATTTTCGATGTTTATATAACTAACACTATATGTTGTTAGAAACGTGCATTTTCATGTAAATCGGTTGCAAAAATAGTTAAGCAAATTTCTAGTTGGTTTTGTAAAAAAATAATTCATCAATTTTTAATGTGTCATTTTTACATGTATCTCATCGCAGAAAAAATGTGTTCCCCAGTGATTAATTTTTTTTAATGTATATTTGAAATGTCTTCCAAAATATATAAAGTATATCAAAGAGAACGATGGATAATTATACCGAGAACACACGTATTTTGTGATAAGGATTATCCGAAATCTGAAATAAGGAGCATGATGTATGACAATTTGTGGAATTCCCCATCGCGGCTATTTCATTTTAATATTACATCATTCTACTATTATAACTTTGACTTTTGCTTGTGACAAATAAGGATGTTGATTTTTTATCAATTGAAAATTATAAAGTAGGCATGATATAGATTAGATGAGCACGTATGGTATGACAAATCAATAATTAGCTGGTATAATACATTCAAAGTATGTAATTGAAATAACCTATCAGTGAAAATTCCTAGTGAGATTTCGATATATTGAAATTATTGAAAGTATATTTCCAAATATCAGTGTTAACTTGTAGTAATTAAATTGTGTATTATTTTTATGCGATGTAATGTTTCTGCAAGATATTCTTTTCCTCTCGCATCGAAATCCATCAGCATATTTACAGATTATTTTGCAATACATTTTTATAGAATGTTGAAGAGTTCTCAGAACGCTAAGTGTTTATAAAACGATACAAAAGTGTATGAGTTTCATTGGAGGAATTGTGAAATAGTGGTTTTCACGACAGCACACATCAAAAACGAAGCCCAAGTATGTCATACCCAGCCCGTAGCGAAAAGTTTCTCGTCAACAGCAGACATAAAATGCTCGAAAAGTTTTTCTAACCCTACACTTGCCACATTATTTCCTCTTAATAATCTCTCAATAATTAGTATCACTGGCACGTTGGAACTAAATTTGGTTCCAATACACGTAATATCCTCAAATCAATAGCGACTTAATAATGTTGCAGCTTCGTTATAACGATCGTACATTCACAAATCTTAATTTTTTTATATTGTTTAATGAATAACTCGAAATTGCTATATTTTAGATTGACATGTTTAGATAATATTAATATAGGTTATTAAATAATAAAACCTATTTTTTATAACATTGAATGTTTTCATCATCCAAGTGATATCATAAAGTGATCACGTGAACATTCATTATTGTCCCTAAAAATATATGTGTTTGACATTATGTAATGCTTTATTTCTTTTTTCATTTTTTTTGTATTTTGTTTGCATTTCAACAGATTTTTTTTCATAATATTAACGTCAGATAAACAGCATTATTTTTATTTTACTTATATATTATAATGCATTGGAGTTACTTATTTGAAAAATTGAAAGCTAACACAACAACGTCGTTACTTTAATTCTATTCTGCCCTATTTCTTTTCTTTTTTTGTAAAATGGACATTAAAAAATGATGAAAAATCTTCGAGATTACTTCCATGATTCACGAACTTTACCTTACTACCGAATTCACACGTTTTGTACTTTACCCGAAATGATTTTCAGTTTATAATATCTGCAATAAAATAAATTCAAAGTATTTCTGGAAATTCAAGGTATTTGAAGTCATAGTCAACATTATGTTTAGTATGCTATTACAGTTTTTTAAACGTTATTGCGAAAAACTGTTTGCAAACCATTATTTGCTGTGCAGTAGAAATCAATAAATTTACAATGATAATATTTTTAGTGCATACAACGCAGTGTGAATTTGAAAAATTGTTGTACTTGTTCACATGAAAAATTAGTACAAAATTGTAAATTCCTTGACGATCGCAATTTTATTTTCAACACGAATTTAAAAAATAATGTCTGATACATTGCTTATGTTCCATCATATCAAATGTATTTGCCACTATTCTATTTATTTTGCCTGTTAGAAAAATACAAGAAAAAAATTGTTATTTTTCTAAATAGTACAAGCGATGCTGTTATTTAGGTAAATGCAAGTAGCTGTATGTGACATTTGTAAAAATCAAAGATTAAAAGCATGTAATATTATTGGAAACGTATCGAAATAAAGAAATAGGCAGTGCAAAAATATCGAAATGACAGAGCCAGTAGTTTGCTCAACAAGTTTGTTAAAGTTAATCAAAGTGAATAAGTTCTCAACACCATTTGTTTTTACTTCTGAAAAGTATTTAACGCACTGTTGAAGTGAGAGATAAATCCATTGACTTGCAAGCAGCGGTATCTTTCAAAACCAATGGCACAATTAAGTACTCATTTTATATTTATCGATTATAAAACTTTTAAAATTTCATACAAATATACGATAAAATGTTTAAGTAAATTTTACTTTTCAGGCTTCACAATTTACTCGCAAAAATTTTCTTAAGCTTTTTCACAACGCTGTTTCGATTCAAAATTCATGTTTTTTTATATATTTAGCGATTTTCATATTGCTAGTAGAGATATTATTTTCTACAAATATCTCTCCATATTTGTTGGTATATACTTTTCTGTTAACAAAGTCTCGAATGCTATGCTTATTCCGAGGTAATATTAGGATTTCGAAAAATAGATGATACGTAAACGTATAAGTTCAAAAATTAGAGAATCAATTGCAAAAAAAAATAAGCTTGAGTTGTATGCATTTTATTAATCTAAAAAAGATGTTTGACTGAAGGAAGATTCTGAATTTGGTAAAAAAAATATATAGTTATCAATTTGTCATAGGTGCAGCCAACGCGTAAGATGCTAACGACATTATGATAAAACGTATAATTAAAACTTCAACTATCTTTGTACGTACAAAGTCTTGGTAGGCTATGATGTATGACGATTAGAAAAATGTCAAGCAATTTTCAATGGATTTTCCTCTCCTAGTGTGTAATTGCAATGTATTTATCAGAATTGGAAATAAGCAAGCAATCAGCACTATGCGTTCACACTTGTGGTGTCAAGATATACGCACCGTAGTTAGAGAGCGACAGGGAGGGGGAGAGAGAGAGAGAGAGAGAGAGAGAGAGAGAGAGAGAGAGACAGACAGACAGAGAAGAAAATAAAAAGAAGATTGAGGGAGTTGTGGCCTCCGCCATGAAGACTTACATATTTTTTTACCCTCGTCATTGTCTTTGTTTTTAGTTCGAGTTATAATGTCTCTTGTAAGCTTTCGGATATACTTGTGCTCGAATATTGGTCCGTGTGTTGTTTTATGGGGGCATAGCATCGAAATTCGTTCTCGTGCAACACTGATCGACAACAATAACAGAGTGAGACTCGAGTCGCGCATTTACTTTGCGTGGCTATGCGTTGTTCATTGGTTCGCGTTTTCACTCTCTCTCTCTCTCTCTCTCTCTCTCTCTCTCTCTCTCTCTCTCTCTCTCTCTCTCTCTCTCTTTTGCTCTCGGAGCTTCTCTAACGCGAAGAGCGCTTGCGCGATAGACAAGCGAGAAGTAGCACAAGCTTAATTATGTACGGCTTAACAAGGTCCATCAAAAATATCGAAATAAATGACTGATATCCGTTTTTCAGGCGTGCCTTATGATCATATAATTTTCTAGTCGTGACTATAGCTCGTTAACAGCATTCTAGCATATCAATGTATTGCCGTTAAAGTCAAAGCTTCTTGAGACTTCACAGCCGCGCACCGATCGTTGAATCGAAACATTATGATCCTTGATTATAAGTTTAAAGGTTTGATGAGCAAGGGCTTTTTCGTTTTGTCTATATAATATGTAGATACGGGTTTTTTATGTATGTCTGTGCGTCAATTGCGACCGCACGCCGATCGTTCTCAAAGCAACGATCGTCGGAAAATAGTTTATTTCGTCACATAGCTTTATGTGTATATAATATACATGTATATACACATATATTTATGCATATATATATAATATATCCCTTAGGTGTAGCTCTTAAACGAGTGGGGATTTGACATCATCATGTTTTCCGGAAATTCGCGTGAATGTTACATATACAACGTATATTAAGCGATTATAGGGCTGATCACAGCAGCGTGCAGCCACATGCGAACATTGCTTCTTGCGATCGTAGGGTGCACGCGCTTTGACGCTCCCTATCGTAGGCAGGTTCCTTTCAAATAGCAATGGCAGAAACCTGCACTTGCACTGTCTTGTATTTGTACGATTAAAAACGCGGCCACGCATTCGTTCACAACAAAATCCAACGCTTTCATCGTCAGTTAACAAGTTTAGAAGGTAGCGCGAACCCAATGAAACTGCTCGCCTCCGTGTCTGTTTGCTTTAGTTATTTGTGTTTATTTTTTATTGTTATCTTTTTTTCTTTTGCAGTTGTGTGCTTGGAAACGGCAGTAAAATAGGTATATAACATCTACACGTCACGCACTCGCATCGGCGTTAAGTCAACAACGAAAACAACGATCTCAAAGAAATAGTATAACAACGACGAGTGTCTAGCGTAAAGTAGAAAAAAACGGCAGGATGATAAATATTGCGGGGATCATGTAGATTTGACAAAGGTCGAGGAAATAGTTGTCGGCGGAGGACTCCGCTATCGGCGGGGCGCGTACATTATAAATAGCGGATACGGTCACGGGGGCAAAATCGAGAGGTAGCTGGAACTAGGGGGAGCTGCGAGTAGCCGAGAGCAGAGTTTGAGGCGCCGATGCTTGGAGCATCGAGTCGATCGAACATCAATAAAGTGTGTGTGTATGTGTGTGTGTGTGTGTGTGTGTGTGTGCGCGTATGTGTGTGCGTGCGTGTGTGTGCGTGCCCACGCTGCGCGGCTACAGGCTGCACGGTGTGTTATGGAGCCTGCGATAGGGTTCGCGAGCGTGTTTAGCCAGGCCAACCACGGCCGAAAACGACGACATGTACACCTTAGAGAGAGACTTGGAGAGAGGCGGTCGCTTGGCGCTGCTCTCCGTTGAGATGGCTCTCGCTGCAACGAGGTGTCAGCGCAGTAGTTTGCTCGCGCGCAAGGCGAGCAGTGGACAAAGCTATTTTTGGTAATTGCGCCGGCTGGGCCGCCTTAGACGCCGGTGTGATTGAAGATGTAGGAGACGTTGCTGTCCTGGTGCATGGGCGGCTGGTGGAAGACGCGCTTGGTCGACGAGTTGTTGTTGTTGACGTAGTACGAAGACTTGCGCATCGAGGTGGAGCTGGACATCATGGCCACGGTCTCGTAGTAGCGTAGTTTGCCGCAGCACTCGCCCGACTTGAGGATCGCCATGAAGCCGCGTCGGTACTTCTTGTTGAAGAAGGCGTACAGGATCGGATTGATGCTCGAGTTGGAGGCCCCCAGCCACTGGGCGATCGGCGTGGCGATCGCCCAGTACTCCTCCTCCCAGTCGGCCACTCGTCCTGCAAGCGCAAGCTCGTCGTTTGGCTCTGGCGGGGGGGGGGGGGGGGCGAGAACGCTCACAGCTCGCGGACTGTCGGCGGGCTTACCTCCGAACTTCATGCGGGCGAAGATGACGTAGAGTGGCAGCCAGGACAGCACGAAGAGGATGACCACGACGATGAGCATCTTGACGACCTTTACCTTGGACTTCTGCTGCAGCCTCTCCATCTGGTCGTCCTTGGTGTCGCTGGGGATGTTGCGCCGCCAGACCTTGATCCAGATCAGCACGTAGCACAGGCTGATGAGGAACATCGGAAGCAGGTAGCAGAGCATCAGGTTGCCCACGAGGAAGAAGAGCGCGCCGTAGCGGGGCTGCGGCCAGACCTCCAGGCAGAGCTTCAGGCCGGGGTCGTCGGGGTAGATGGACACCAGGTCGAAGTAGATCAGCCAGGGCAGCGTGGCCGTGAGGGCGACGAACCAGATGAACACTATCATCACTCGGGCCCGGTGCTTCGTGATCTGACACTTGAGCGGCCACCAGATCGCCAAGAACCTGCGAATGAAATCGTCACGCTTCGTTAGCCACGGCTCTCTGCTTTAGCTCGACGATCCGTTCATCCGTTCGCTTGCTCTCCCTCGGCGAGAGCCGCGCGCGCTTATGCAACGGCGGACACACCGGCTAGTGGTGCCCGATCGTTAGCTCGCGGGCCGGGCTCGCGTGCGGTGCTGCAACGCTGTCAAAATTACTGGCCCGTGCTTGGCCGTACGCCTGGCAAATGGCCATTGGGCTGTGCGTGCGCGCCGCGCGAACGACATTTCTCACCGATTCAACGCGCGTTTCGAAATTCATCCGTAGGTGGCGCATACTCGCCGATCGGACGACTTCAACTTTCAAATCTTCTAAACAATTCACCGAGCCGCGAATAATTTTCCGCTCTGATTGACATTATGCTTGGAGTGCTAATGAGAGGCCATTTTTTTCGCGCTCGCAATGTTTTTTCCGTCGTTCCTTTTACGTAGACTGCGATCGTCAATCAGCGCGCTAATTAGCATCTCAAGTATATGGCCTACATAATAGAAAATTAGAAGGAAATCGGTTGGAAACGCAGAGGCGAATAAAAGGGCCTTCCTTTGTTTTGTAAATTGCGCGGAAAGCGAGAAACGATCCCGCATACTGGCGCGCGTCTTGTTGTTCGCAGCAAAACAGTCATTCTAGGGTGAGAAAAAAGGCACATTGTTGAAGCAATTGAATAGTAAAGAATCAAGGTAGAAACACACACACGGACGCGCTCGGACACGCTCTGACACGCGTGTGACACATATGCAAAGTGTCGGTGGATTACGTATCGTGCATATTGTGCACTTGTACGACGAGTATTTCAGGGTCAATTACGGTTATTTAGCGCTGCTGCACTGCCGAGCAATGATATTACAATCGCATCAAGTCAGTCTTGCAACGGGTAAGATTGCAAGTGTGCCATATGCATTTACTTTTCTTGTGCGCGGAGATAATGAAGCGCGCACATATTAAACGGGCTAATTATAGGAGTGCAGCCGCGACGGTAGCGAGCTTGTATCATTGTGATACGCCCCACGCCGATCGCAATGAGATCGCCGCAGCACGATGGCTTCCCTGTCTCGATATCCGCGGCAATGACGTAACGGGGCTGGCGCGCCCGATTGTGCGTGCGCCGGTCGCGATCGCAGAGCGATTGCATAAGCCGCGAGCAGCCGATTCGCACGGGGAAAGTAGACGAAGTTCGGAGCAGCGGCGGCCGATGCCGAGAGGACGTCGGTCCCGCGCGCGCGCGACGTTGAAAGTGCGCTGCGCTTATGTAAATGCGAGGCGATCGTGCAGCTCGGCCGGAGAAATTGGAATATCGACACGGCTGCGGCCGGTGCGATTAGCGCGGAGCCTGTCCTCGGAGTCGGACGCGGGCCGCTTCCCACCGCTCCACCATACGCTGCAGCCGAGTTCTCGTTCATCTCTCTCTCTCTCTCTCTCTCTCTCGTCTTGTCCTTGGCAGGAGCGCGGCGCATTATTATCGGAGAGATCGCGCGGCGGCAGCCAGGCGGATTAACGCCGGGCTCGTTCCATTTCCGCGGATAATTGCTGCGCCAACAGCTAAGCAGCTATGGGACGCTCGCGCCTATAACCCACTGCCGCGGCGTCCTAATCGCCCATGCATCTCGCGCGATCTTGCCATCGTTAACTCGGTCGCGTATAAATCGCCGATCGATAGCCGACACTTAATCGCCGCCATGCCGGCTCCGCTGTATACTGCACTCAAGGTAAACAATGAAATATTACGCGCTCTCTCTCTCTCTCTCTCTCTCTCTCCCGGCTCATCCCTGCTCGGCTATAAAAGAGTTACGACGCCGAGCCGGGGATTCGAGTTCGACTCGGACTTTGCTGCCGGCTGAGCTGCCGCTGCTGCGCGCTGACATTCGTCTCTACATTTTTTCTGCAGACTTGTCGACGATTGTTCTCTTGTGAGAGATATACGACGTACGAGCCAGGATGCTCCTCAAACTGGTCGGTACTATATACCACTTTTCAAATACCTTTCCCTTCGCTCTTTACGTTCTTGCTTTTTAACGACGCGCTCGTGCTGCTCGGGCTTTTACAACGCGCTACTCACTCTCCGTCGCTCGATAACGGGCCTTTCCGCTATCTTGCAGAGAAATAAGTGCCAATACGAATAAATCATATACATTCGCGGCGCCGTTTTGGCAGCTTTTAACCAAACCTTCCAGTGATTACAAGTTGTTTGTCACGCAGTTGCTGATCGCGCTGGCCGGAGTGGCGTTGGTCGAAGCCGCACCCGCACCTGCGCCTGCACCTGCACCGGGACCCGCGCCCGGACCCTCGCCCTATCCACCGAGCTACCTGCACTCGCCGCTGCTGCCGGCCTACTCGTACTCCTCCGTCCTGCATTATCCGTCCTACGCCTACAAGTACCCTTACTACTCCAGCCTTTATCCTTACTCTTACTACGGCTACGGGTATCCCTACTACAAGGGCTACTACGGCTATGGATATCCCGGATCTATCTACTCCATCTATTAGATGCATTTCCCCACTGCAAGCTCACTCAACGCCTCCTGCCAATTTTACGTGCTACAGTTTGACTGCGATCTAGCGAACGTTCATCTGCACTTTTCGGAGCAACGCCCCATTACTACCGACCTACACGAACGGTACTCTACATCAGTTGACACCTGAACCAAACACCAATCGATCGCGACAAATATTCTCTGTACTCGGAAATGTCCAACTAATGTGATACTTGGTCAAATAAAGTCATCGATTTATATTACTTTTTTGGTTTCTTCGAAGAGCGCACATGCATACCTCTCGCTTCCTCGGCCTTTCTCGCACGTCCAACCGAACGAACTCGGAAAGGCTGTGCGCCGTTATAATTCCATGTTAACGTACCATCGCGATCGCAAATTTCGCAACGATAACTAATTGCGAAATATAAGTGCACGCGTACTCCGCTTGAATAAACTAATTCGCTGACATTTCTATATCGCGTCGACCGTCATTTTATTGATTAAAAGCAACGGCGAACTCTTGTCACGAAAAACGATTAGTGTACGCATGTTATATTCCTCCGAGATGACAAAAATTGAGAAATTTCGTTAGTACGAGCACGACGAAGGTTTTCTCTTTGTTCGCAGTTCTTTCGCACGATTTTCACATTAATCATATTAAATGCAAAATTCCAATATCCGCACGGAGCGAGTTTCCGTGTTGGTCGTTTTATCTATCTGCTGAGCTTCCGTTGGCGGCGCGCCTGCGCTTGATACAAAATGATGAAATTTCGCGCCCGGAATACAATGGAATTGGCGCATCATTACAATTTGGCCCGATAAATGGGAAAAGAAATGAGGCTGCAAGCTCGGCGCGAGCTCGGCGCAAGCTCGGCGCAAGCTGCGAGAGGGGAACGGAGCGGAGAGGACTTTTCAATTTCATCGCCATTATATGCTCGAGCGGGCGCCTCGAGTGCTTTTCTCATCCCCCCCCCCCTCCCCTAAAAGAAAAAAAAGAGAAAAGGCAACTATACGGACCGGAGGAGCACCGCGACGACGACGACGACGACGGCAGCGCCGAAGAGAAGTTCGAAACTCCTTTAAGGAACTTAAGTTTGGAGTGCACAAGCGTTCGGCGGCGCAGCCTCTCGAGAGTTTCGCGGCAGCCCCGCTAAAGCGCAGCGCAATCTGCCAATTAGCTTAATCATTTAATTAGGATGAAATTGCAGCTGCAAGCCGAAACAGCGAATGGTCCTCTGGTAAAGTCGATCGTGGCGCTTGGCGCTCGGTACCGCGCACAGCCACGGATACGCAGTCAGCAAACAGCGTCCAACCGGCATTCTCGAATGGCGCGTTTCAATGGATCGTCTGTCTCTCGCTCGATATTTTTATATTTTCAGCCTTGTTGCATTTCTTTGGCGGCAGCGGCAGGCTCGCAGCTATACGGCGCCTGCGTCTGCAACGTCAAATCCCGACCCCAACGGGCCGCAATGTCAATTCAAACTGCTCATTCTTCCCTTTTCTTTTGCGCTGTTTCGGACTCCCCGTATGCACTGCATCTGGCGCCATTCCGTTCGCGTTATTACTACATTATGACCACTTATATTGCGTCGACTTTTTTAATATACCCACCGTCAGCTCGCCTGTGTAAACGTTATACGTGTACGTTTCAAAGGAACATCATTCGGGGAAAATGGCGTGGCGTTAAAACTGCATTGGACAATAGTAAAGCTATCGAAAATCGATATCAGAGCATTACTTTTTTTTACCCTCGAGGGAGACAAGGTCTAATTCGTGCTCGACGGATGATTTTAAATGCTCGGTAAAGCTATCATGGCATTTAATGTACTATGATAAAAGCTAGACAAGTATATAAATGGGATATACGGGAAAAAGGAGCGCAGATCGAGAAGTTGTTTCACGCCGTACTTTGGGAATTCGGAGCTGACGTTGAGGTTCGAATAAAAACGTTTTGCCGTGAAAACGCGGAGCGAGCGCATAAAAATGAAATTAAAGGAAACTAGAAAAACAATGAGTGCAATAGATTTGTGCAATAGAGAGCGAAAAATTTGCAAAAATGAATATTTCATTAGAGTCTTAAGACTGAGGTGCGGGCTTGGATGCACAAAGTTGAAAGCTTGGTATTCGGAAAGTTTCGGAACGGAACGCGAGTGAAACCGCAGGATAGCAAACGCGTAGTTGGACTTTGGAACAGCTTTTGTGCAGCGAAGGGATCGATAGTGGTTGCACCACCAACTTGACTGCAATGCAAAATCAGCGCCGTCGGCTACTTGTCTTTTCCTGAAAAAAATGGAGCTTTCTGTCCGCACAGCTCCGCGGAATGCCGTGCAGCAGCTGGAGAGAACAGTCGTTGATTCGCAAATACGCGCGTCGGCCGTTTAACCGGGTATTTTTAGAAGCAGTCTGGATAAGGTCGATATATAATGCATTATTAGCGTGTCGCCCTTGAGCAAGGTGCGGACTCTGGCGGACTAAATATAGCGTTGCGTAGTGTTCGCTCGGACGAGGGAGATGATGGATAAGGAGGTGTCGTGCCGAGGGATGAAAGTGTGGCGTAAACGAGACACGAGTCACAGTATAAAAATCTTTATTTTGTTTTCTGCATATATAGGCAACGACCAACAATGTGTGTGCGCGTGTGTTGGGGCGGCGAGGGACGAGGATTAATAATGTACAGAGTAAGTATGCAGATGGATGGATGCAGGATGGGGTGGCGGCGTTTGGAATGGCGAGCACACCTCTCGCGCGCGCGCAACAAACGAGAAAGAAGTGAGTGAAAAATGCGCCTGGAACAATGGAAAAAAACCGTCTCCGCTGAAAGTTAATTGGACGTTTCTGGCATGTGGGCGTAGGCCCTAATGGATGGCGTGGTGATGCACGGGCACATAGTGGTCGTGGCTGGGCAGCACGGTCTTGGTGACGATCGGGTGGACGTGGACGTGGGGCGCCGGCGGCTGGTGGTGCGGCGCGTGGATCTCCTCGTGGCCGTGTCCGAGCTCGAGGTGGCCGTGGAGAGGAGCGTGCACGACCGGGGCCGGGTAGTGGATGACGGGCACCGAGTGGTGGTGCTCGACGTGGAGCGGAGCTGCGTGCAGGGCCGGCGCGTGCACCGGCTCCGGCTGGGCGATCACCGACACGTGGTGCGGGTGTCCGTGGTCGACCACGTTGGGCGCGTGGATGTGGCCCAGTCCGTGGTCGACGATGTGGCCGGTCAGGCCTCCGGGCGCCGCGCACGCCACGCCCAACAGACTCAGCACTGTAACCTGCGCGCGTACCGTCATAACGGACACCTCGTTACCGGCTCTCAGTCAGCTGTAGCGCCTGCCTCATCGACTAAGCCTCCACCGGTCTTGTGCAAATTACCGATGCCTCCTTCTTATTGTTTATTTTACTCTTCATTACCAGTCCTCGACTACTCTTTCAGCGCACGATTGTACTTTATGCTCGACATTCGTCTTCGTTAGCTTGTCGCGTCTTCTTGAAAAAGTTACTCGACTCACCCCGCCTGTCCCATTTGTTTCGATCGATAAATCCAATTCATATCAATGATTTCGAATCATTCCTCCAACGTCGTTTAATGTACAAAAAGTCAAGCAGCAAGATTTACTCTATTTTTATCTCGAAAAATCTATCGAGCTAACGAGAAAACTTATTCAATCTATTAACAGGACGACAATATTTTTCTAGTCTTCAATGAAATCGCCGTAGCTATACCGTCGAAATGCATTATTGCGCGTTAGCGTGTTGTAAAGAATGCAATCGCGATGAGCATAAATAGTTCGCTGGTGTGTATTAATTTCTAGAGAGAACGTTTCGTTTGAAAACAATTCGACTGATCGTGTTAAAATAGTAGGAAGTGCACCGGGGAAATGAAAAATAGAGGAATGGTATTAAACTGCATTGCGTCACGGTGAGACAGACTTTCGAAAAAGGAACCAACACAATGCAGGCTACTGCATTCACATTTTTGCCACTCAAGTCGGCAGTCTTTCGCGTGTAGGCAACTGCGGACTCGTAGACCGGCCCCTCTAGCTGATACGCGCAGCGAAAAACGGCTTCCGGATAAAAACGACACCAAAAGCTAAATTTCGTAATGCTACGTATCTGGACTTTCTTGCCCCTTCCCCGCTAACTGGTTTCACCGCACATTTTCGAACTCTCAATATCGTTTCAAATCTTCACTGTCTCTTTCGATTGCAAACCTTCTCGGACAAGTCCTAAAAAGACCAATTTTTTAAACAAGGTAACTATCTCTTTTTCAATTATTCATGTGGTATTGACATTTTGACGCGTATAGCTACAGCAATTATCGCAAGTCAATTATTCGCTTGTGCAAACAGCGGCAATTGTATCGAACTCAATTAGGGCATTATCTGTAATTCATCGATGGAACAACAGTAAGTACACTCTTTCAAGAAAGACACGGGAAAAATATTTACATTTCTCACGGTTATTATCGGCGATGACGTAATTTCGGTAATTGATACAAGACTAATTAGGCTGATGTAGATGAGGCAAATTGAAAAAAAAAACAAAAAAAAACAAAAACAATGACGGAGACTTACCAGCTTGAACATTTTGCTAAGGTGAGAGAGGGAGTCAGTTCACTACGCGAAAGTCAGATGAACTATGAGTTGGGCAGCACGGAGTCATTGCCATTTTATACGGGGGCCGAAATAAAAAATGGAAAGTGGTCACGTGACTGTGTCTGACGCTAAGGGAAGCGTCATTGAGTCAGCCGCGAATCGCCAGAAGGGTGGGAAAGGCGATCGCCCAATCGACGCGTAGCTTTTCCACCGCTACGTGGATGCCGATGATCGTCCAATCAACTATCGCGTACTGACGATCGGCTATGGCAATTGTGCGTTTCGAAATTAGAATTGCAACTTGCAGCTGGCCTATCATTATACGACCCGACACGATCACAGCAGGTCGCTCAGCATTTCCATTTTTACATTGATTTTGTTAAGATTTTCGCCAGCGTTATATTTCCTTGCAGTTAGTTTACTGTTTCATTTGCATCTTCCTCGGTTCCCCCTGTCGCGCAACGTTCAACGATTCTAGACTGAAAAATTGGACTCGAACGTTATCCCTTTTTTACCTGAAGCTAGGCTTTCTGATTAATTAAAATGCATTCCACTTTGTCAATGTTTGAAGAAACTATGGAAACCCGATTGAATAAAGGCAAAGATCTTAATTTGGTGATGCAACGAAACGTACGTTGCCAATGTATATTGGTAATGTACTGTTCAGGAATGTTAATTTGAACGTCACGAAGGTGTAATTATAATAACTTGAAATACATCAAGGATTGCATTATTCAATTCATACTTCTAAATTCGAATTCCTTCACTGCAATAAATTATGAAAGTGAACAGAATAAACTGCTTATAGCTTAATCCTCGTTAGCTGAAAGGAATTCAAGGATCGAAGATTGTTGGTGAAAAGAGCTTTGCACCGCCGTACGCCTGAGAATCAATGAGTCGACTGAGTGGCGCGAGCGATGTCGAGAGCTCGCAAATCACGGGCTGCGCGCCCGCCGCGCGGCAAATTGTCCACGGCGACGGAACCCGAGGATGTGTCAACAGAAGATGGCGAACGACAGAGGCTCGAGAGCGCGCGCAACCTCGCTGCCCCCTGTGATTTTCAGTAAACAAAAGCTGCTCATAATTAGGCAGTGCGCCACTGCGAGAAAGTATATAATTACTGGCAGAGACGTTGGCGAGCGCCTGGATAATTTTGTCGTTGCGTTATCGGAGAAAAGCTCGACGAAAAAATGGAAAGATATTAAGCTATTGTTTATAGGAGTTATAGCCGCGGAGCGTTGCGCCACGCCAATCGCAATTCGCAGCTATTAAGTGATTTCGTAATGGCGTGTTTATAAAATGTGCGTGGTGGCGGCGCTGCGCTAACGAGTGTGAAAACAAGAAGAGGCCGACAGGCGCGGCGTCGGACGCATCGCCGGGAAAAAACGCGCGGTGGCCCGCAGGGGTCTAGCAGCAGCAGCAGCAGCGGCAGCAGCGGCAGCCAGCAAGTCAAAGCTGCCGAGATCGAGACGCACAATTACGCGGCGAGCGCGCGGCGCTAGATTTTTTTCGACAGGCAACGCGGCATAGAAAGTGCACGGCGAACAATCGCGGCGCGGCTGCAGGCTGCAGGCGCGGGCCCGATTATAGCTCGCTCGGCTCGTTACGAAGCCGCCGGTACGTTGCAGCTTGTGTTGGATTGCAGCTTAGCTACTACGCCAATCGATCGAAGCCCAGATTGCCGAACCGATAGCGCGAGCTGGCGCGCCGGCATAATTGATGCTCGTGCCGCAACCTGCTGCGGACCCAACTTTGCCGTGCAGCCTCCTGCTTCGACACCTATTGTTCGGCTGCGACCACTCTTTGCGACTTGCACCTGCACATCTTCGATATTGCAACGATAAGCCGTTCACGCCGCGCGCGCTCGCGTGGATCATTGTGCAATCGCCACTTCCGATTTTCGTCTTTCCGACGACGGGGTGCATGCGATATTTTCTCTCTCGGAATCGCGTCTAAGGCAGTTGCGTAACCGCGTAACCGGAAAGGAATGGGAGAAAGAGGAGTGACACTGAGAAAAATAATATCACATAACTACGCCAAGTCAGCTGATCTATCGACTTATCAACGGTCTTTCTGTTAGACGATCCTTTTTTATATTGTGTAATGCATCTGCAGCGTGGTCTCGTAACTGATTTTTAAATATTAACTTGACCAAAGTCCCATCAACATCGACACCTTTTTATCAAGCACATTAATGTCAATCAGAATTCACTACAAACACGTTAACTCGGATATTATGTACTTATTTCTTTGAAATACTTCCGCATGTATGCATCATATTTACATCTCATAAAAATATACGGATCGACAATTTATTTATACTTGAATTTTACAACTTGACGAATTCCGATTTATATGTTCTGTAGAATATTGCACTTTATTTGCACTCATGAATGAATCTTTTCAGGTAAACTTTATTATGTAAGAAGCTTTAGTAGGACGTCGCTAAAATAAGTCTTTGTAAATATAAAAGTTTGTATAAATACTACCAGTTAAAAGTAACGTTAACATTTGCCAATATCACCGAAAATGTCAATGTCATTATTTTATTACGTAAACGTACCTGTCTAACGATACTGCAACCAAACTGTAAACAGATGCAGCTACAGAGACGCCTTGGATGTATGGTACAGTTTTGCACATAAACCAGCCCAAAACCCAAGCTGCAACAATAAATAACAAACGAAGGTCACCAATGATATCAAAGGGTTTTACATTATTACGTGTCGTTCATATACTAGATGCACGGAGGTATATGGTTATTTCAAAAATTATCGGGATTTAGTCAGGAGTCCTATTATATGAATAAATCAGTGAAACAATTTTAACTGAAGCTCTTTAATCCAGGAAGTGAATTTTGACTTGAGCAAGATTTTGATAAGCGTAGCATTATGAAAGACTTGATGACACAGTTCTCCTTTCATATGGCATTAACATTAAGCTTCTGCTATTGACTAACGAACTAGCTATTGTCAGGCAAGAAAACGGCTAAGCTGGAGAGAAGTAGAGGAGAGAAGGGGAGGGAAGTATTAGTAAGAGGTGTTGCATAGCTGCTATCTTATAAAAAAGAGTAATGCAAATGAGAAAACTTTATAAAGTTAAGAATGATCGATTATAAATTTCATGCAAGCTGATTAGATGACTTTCCTTTCAAATGAAGTGACAGTTTTGAAAGACTATTGTAAAACGCTCGCTACTGGATAACAAACCTATAGGTTATATAGCAATAAATATATTTATTTATTATAATAAAGCACGTGATATGTGATTGGATCGAACGTAGGAGTTGACGATAAGGAAATAGTTAAGCAAAGCTTTGATCGGTAGTATGGTGATTATCAGTGCGAGCACAAAGCCTTCACAAAGCATCACTTTCTCTCTCACATACGAGCTCTCTTTATCAACCAATTCAGGAACATTCCTTAAATCACGAGGAGAAAGATTCCGATTTAATTGGATGATCGTGAGCGCTGGTATGCCTATCGCAGGAGTGGGCAAATATGTCAGCTTTCTGTAATATGCACTCATTCGCACCATTCTTTCCCATACTATTTCTATTCTGTTACTACTTTAACTTCATTATCCGATACTCCATTCGTCAAGGTCGTTTGCTGTCACATCTTTACGTTTAATCTGCTTGTATGCTTCTTATAACGGTTCTTTTCATAAGCCCTCCCTTTTCTATTTGTATTAGCTCCTTTACTTTGCTCTCTCTCTCTCTCTCAACAAGCTTTTTATTTCTTTTCTTGCCTTTTGCTTTGCGTCCTTGTACTTTTAGTCTGCTTTTTACTTTTGCGATCCAAATGCTCTCAATTTTTTTATGTATCATTGATATATTACTAATATTAGAATTCTTTTCATTCGCATACATTCTAGTAGAACTGGAATGAAAAGTTTATGAAATTTCGAGGTTATTTCAACCAAGTTTTGCAAGATTTTCATTTGCATATACAACAAAATGATCCAGCTAGATGATTTTATATACAACCAATGGGTATTGCTTACGAATTATTTATGATCGAGTTTGTACACGCTTTGCATTTTACTTTCACTGTGGGTTCTACATATTTACATTCAAGTGTACGTAGTCATTTTACAGGTTTTGCATGTGGTTATACCCACGATGCAATTCGATATAGAGCATGCATAATAATGCCAATAAAGAAAAATTCAAAAAATAGTTTAAGTCAATTCTCAATCAATAATATTACATATGTTCATAGTGATACAATTCCTGGACTCTATTGTTGCCATCTCAAAATTGAAAAAAAATCATATGAGAACAATGCATGAAATAAGTAACTGATTATGATCATATGTAACTGCATATTTAGTAGATGAATGAAGACTCCAAATAAACATGACTGTTCAACGGTTTTTAGAATTTTTCGAAATAAGTTTATACGACCAAACTATTATTACTAAAAAAGTTCAGAGTCACATCCCAATATAATAATTATTAACATTTGCAACTCAATAAATAAACTTACATAAAGATCAATGGATTAACAATGATGATTAAATTTAGATTAAAAGTATCTTCGGTAAAAATAATTGTAAGCACTGTATCAAATATGTAAATTGCTTTGCTCTTTTAATATCTGGTGAATTGATGACAATAAAAAATATTTACATTGATTCTTGATCGAATATCATTAAAGTACTATTTTTGAAGTGTATGTTGCAGTAGCTATCAAGCTGAAATTGATTTATTATATAAATTAAGGAATATTACAATATAATAATTGAATTAAAAATGTTGAGAATAGATTATGAAGAGAAATTTGTTTTTGTCGTTTATTGATCTATTGAAGTGGAAAGAAGTAGAGAAACATGGATATAATTGAATAATAAAGATCTAGCTTACGTAGATTATCAGCGAGTGAGAGCCAAGCGTTATTAAGGAGAATTGATTTCTGTTTGAAATCAGATGTTCCGTATGACCTTGACTAATCCAACATCGCATTTGGATGAATTTTTTATGAATTATGCAGATTGAGCAGCCTTTGCCGATGATATTCAATCGGTATAATTGTCAGATTTACAAAGTTGCTCTGTAATATCTGTAATATTGAGCACGCTTTCACGTTCGGTAATAAATGCAGGAGGCTAACAATGTGTGTGTGTCTGTGTGTGTGAGTATATATATAAAGGTTTCACAGACGCGCATCAAGGGCTCTCGTGTACATCAATATTGCTGCACTGTATATCAAAGTAAAGAGCGATCGGGAGACATGACAATGGCTCTGATAAGTTACTGCCTGTAGCTCAACAGAAACAGTACTGTACTTGTGTACGTAGCTGTCGCTTGTGATACGCCAAACTATAACTACTATAATTAAATATGCCTGTTTGCTGGTGTATCGAAATCTTGTAGTGAAGTTTTGCATAATTAACATAGCATTGCAATAGCCGAGGCAGCGCTTTTTAAGTGCGAAACTTCAGCACTTGAATGTCTGACCTGTGCCCTCGCAAAACGCGTTCCTGTTCCGACTTTGTCCATTGATAACTGATCGTAAAAATGGGGTAGGTTGAGTGGTAGCTGATATCTTGCAAGCTTTTAGCCGTGCAACAGTCCGAATGTTGCCAAAATGGAAACAAAGACAAGCAAAAATATGCTTTGAGCTTGCCCAAGAAGGACGTTTGATGTTCTTCAACACCGTTACATATACGTAATCACGCATCTTTTGACTTGAGTAGCTTGATTAAAGTAACAGCATAGCAAATCTTTGAAGCTCGCGACTTGCGAAGAATGTGCGTTTGTCAGCACTCGCTAAAGCTCGTCGCCGTCGCGAGCATCGCAAGCTTCGGCGTGCGAGAATTTTATTTACTTACATTCCGCTCATTCTTCCCTTCTGTATCTTTCCGTAGGTTAAACGTTTAAAAGTATAAGAGGCTTTTTCCGTTGTTACACCAATATCAAAGAGATCTTTTTATTGGGCCTGTTTCCTTTTACGAGTAGCGCACTCCTCCCAAAACGTGCCATTTTGGGAGGAGTGCGCTTCTCGTAGAATCGAGGCTAGATTTACAGCTCGGATGCACTATAATAACCTTTTACAAGTCTTCAACTTGCACATGAATGTGAATGTGTATAATAGGTGCATTGTTGCGACGACAGTGATGTACCTAAAACGAGAGCTGGAAACACATAAGACGGCAGAAATGGTATAGGGGCAGACGAGCGAAGAGCTATGAGTGGCACGGAATTCCGAGAGGCACGTCTTAGCGTGTATAAATCTGCTTCGTTACTCTTAAAAGCACGACGAGCCCTTCAGTCTTTCTCTGGCTTGCTTTCAAAATCCCTCGATGTAAAAGCGCAGCTCTCTTTCGTTGCCGCTTTCTCTGTCTTTATCATACAATATTATATGCTTGGTCGCCTTGCCGAGAAAGAGAGAGAGAGAGAGGAATAAGGATTCAAGCGCGAAAGGACTTTTCAAGAGGCGTGAGCCCAAGGTTGCGCGCCCCCCTGATTCTCGGTTGCTCGTAAAATGTTGCTTCGTTTGGCAAAGAGGATAGGACGCACCGAGCACGCGCTCGCGCCACCCAGAGATGGCATTGGCAAAAGGAAATCATCACTGTCAAATCTTAAAATCCCAGCGAGTGCACACGACACTCGGCTTCGGCACTTTGCAATTTATACGACGCGAGCGCGCGTTCAGGAGCTCCTCTTTCTCCACTAAAGACCGCTATTGTATTCTCAAATCTTATAGCTTCTTCATTTTTATACGCGCTTCGTGTCGTCAGCTCTTGCTCTGTGACATGATTCTCCGTATTTCGCAGCCGTCTTAAGCAGCTCCAAATTTTATTTCTATTGCTGAAATTAATCAGATGGTAGATCAAACAACAATCTTCATTGCTTCATGCACATCTTCAAAATTAATAAAGATACGAGATCTTAAAATTGTATACGGTTTCAGTTAAATTAGGTTACACTGCTTTATCGTAGTAAAGTTTCAAACGTCATTTGAATAAGAAAAAGATCTTCATAGCAAAGTCGCTTGACAGCGTCTTAACTGAGTCTGCGAAATTACTAAGAGGATAGACTTGGTCGCACACTGGTTTCAACGCTGGTATCAAATATAAAGATATAGTCTTGAATTTTTTTTTGAAAATAAGAATCTCTATTAAGGAAGAAACAGATTTCTTGGGTTCTTATTAATAACAAAACCTGAACGTCGCTAAAGAGTTACATATAACTGAATTATACAACAATTATTATCAAGATGCCTAGAAAACAATGTCTGAACATTGAGCGGCAGAACGCGTACAGGAATTAGTTAATTGAAACAGAGAAATCCTCCTAAAAACTAATAACAACAAATTAAAAGGTAGACTCCGCATCATAATATCAGTTCGTAAAATACGGTAAAGAATCAAAATCCACTGCCACTTGACTAATTCTTACGCGATTATTAATTATGAATTATATTAAATTTTCATATTACGCGCATACTTTTCATTTGACAAACGACTTCTTAAATTTAAATAAATTGTACATTATAATATTTAACATTTATTGTCTAACAACATAATTGAAAAAGATCATTCGTGAGCATCTAATTGATCGTGTGAAGGCTGATTGAAAAGCTGCTGATATAAGCTTCAATATCGTATGATGAATAATTGTAATTTAATCAAAATAGAAAACTGTTTGTACAACCAA